ATTTCATTACATACACACAAGTGTAGGACTACCATTATGCCTGTTTAATCCATTGCTCCTGACATTCATACAAAACATGGCAGTACATGAGCCAGCTCCCAGCTTACTCACAGATCATGGGTTAGCATCTTAACTTCAGGGTAGAAAGCAGAGATGGGAGAGCATTTTTAGCTTTAACTCTGTTGTATTTTATTGGTGCTCTTTAAATACAGTGGTTCTGGAAAGGTTTTCTGAACCCCATATTACCAAGCTATTGCTCCCTCAGTGATGACTCAGTGATGTCTCATATAAAATACAGTATCCCCAAAATGTGAATATCCTATCTATAAATTTCCCAGCCTTCACACGCTGCACATCCCAACTATTATGGTTCTTTCCTGAACTCAGGTTTGTTCTCTTTCTGACTAAGGGTAGGAATATGAAACAGTTTATTTCATAGTTTAAATTATGAATTTCTCATGGGGCTATATATATTCTGACAATAATGCAGAGAAGAGAGATGAGGATGCCTTAATTTTGGTAGAATTTTCCTCTTTTCAAAACCATTCACAACTTGGCATTTAGGAACAGAGAAGTTTAGGATTTAATTCCTGTAAGCTGAACTGAAAACTAAATCTAAGGTGCACAGTGCAAATAGATGTTATAACCCTCAAACAGAAAGAAAAATTTGGCTTTCTCCAGCAGCTTTTTCTGGATTTGGTCCATGTTCTTATTTGCTTTTTCTTACCTGTGTTTCAAGAAAAATGTTTATACAAGGCCACAAAACACTTTAGTCTCAAACTGAGTGATTATTTTTCATTATTCTCAGAACTAAAGTGGAAAAATAAAACTCCAACTGAAAAACACTTGTTTTTCAGAACAAAATTGTTTCTATTGCTTAATTTGGAAACTAAATTAAAAAATCTATTATTTGCACAGCCATAACATATAATCAGTCTCATTGACATAAATGTGCTGAAGTACACAAATTAATTGAAAACTATATTCCTCTGTTATTGCTGAGATCTGTCACAAGTAATTTTAGAATCACTTATTGATCTTTCATTATTATTTAGATTTAGAAAAGCACTCATTTGCTAATCTGAACACTTCTGAGTTCATTCACAATAAAAATAATTACCATACCCATAGCAAAATGAATACTCAGAAAAAAACACCAATAACTTACCCCAAATATTGCTCCAATATAGAAAGAGATTTCTTCCATCAGTATTTTTGGAATTTTTTTTTTTTTGGAGGGTGAGCTGATTGTTTGGATAGCCTTTTAAAAATTTTTTTAGGCCACAATATCTTCAACGCTTTTGTTCAGGATAATGACAGAAATGTATGACAAAAGTACTAAATAACACACTTCTCTGAGACAAAAAATTAACTGTATAGTTATATATGCATAACAAAACATGAGTGTTGGTTTATAAACAAGAAATCAGTCTCATTGTGTTTACTCAAAACATGACTATAATTATAACTTTCTCCTTTAAAAATTCTCACTAAGAAATGAATGGAAATTGAATTAATTTTATATACATCCAATTTGCCTTTTACATCTTTTGAGCTACATTGCCTTATTTAATCTGACAATTCTAAATAATCCATATCACTACAAGAAGACTGGTAGGCAAGGTTTTTAAATGACTATTACTTATTTCAGTGTATTTTTATAACTCTGGTTAGCTAATTTTTATGAAATCTGTAAGAAACTGAGAATATAGCTGTCATATGTAGGAGAAAAAACTCACTGAACACAAGCATCTCCTATCAAAGCAGAAAATAGCTGAACATTAGCTATTTCTAACTGTGCCAAGTCTGAACACACTCAGCAAAGAGATGTTGCACACATTAAAAAAAAATCTTCTCCACGAATATCCCAGCTCAGCTGACGGCAGCTGCATTGCTGGCCTGGGTTCATTAGCCGTAGCTTTGGGCTTGTCAATGAATAAAACACTCCTGTTCCTGCAAAGCCTTATGGGGAGTCACAACATCTGTAAGAAGATGTAAAAATACAAGTACAGCAAAATTGTGCTATTTTTTAGCTTCTGCTGGATATTATAACCACACTACAGGATCCTTTCAAAGCACACTTTCCAAATGGAGCATGTTAGCAACTTTGGAGTACTTTAGCAAACTGAAGTTAAGTGAAGTGACCAACCAAGTTTTATCTTTATGTTTAGGTGCATACATTGCTGGGCAGGCAGGACGGGGCTGAAATTTCCCTCATTGCATCTAAAATAAAATCAGGGAAGATATTGCAATCTTCATCTTTTCCATTTTTGTCACTGTTTAATGTTGAAGACTGTAGAAGAAAGTCTATTACCCTGGAAATTCATAAGTTAGCATGGCTTTTTGGTTTTATTTTTTTAGTTTAATGAACAATGTGCTAAACTAATGCAGAAGTATGACCCAAAATTTGAAGTCTGTGACAAGTTATTGTACTAAAGGACATAAGGTGGATATAACTAGCTATTGAACGGTCAAAAATCAACTAAAGGCATTATGGTAAATCTGTTTTGAGTCGACTGATTCCTTTTCACATGAAAAAGGATGGCAATATGCAAATGAGAGAAAAGTCAGAAATAAATTTCATTTACCTTTAGATTTTTAAACTGCCATTGTTTATACTTGTACCAACACACTGTCTTGTCTTTGTAGTCAATAGAGACAAATGGGTAGTTCCAGAACACAATTGCATTGACCCATTTTAGACCTTTTTGATGAAATTAACTGTGTCCTTCAAATACCAATTTCTAATAACTGTGAATAAGCCCAGATGCTTAGCTCCAAAGTAGCTACTACTTTGCAAGCTTCATTTGGTTTTATGAATCTCATGTAGAGTAACTGAAATTCAAAATGCCACAGGCAAAGGTTCTTCCCCATGATGAAACTCTTCAATGTGGAATCTTCGTGGCCTTGCTGACCTTTCCTATGATCTTGCTGCACACAGAACACTATAAACCCTTTGGAAGGGGCTGCTCTATTTAACTGTGTCTGTCACCACAACTCATCACTGTTTGAAAGAGAAAGGATAGGAAGAGTAGCTTGCAACCAGAGATGACAGGTCCTCTTAGCCATTCCTTTGCCCTCAGCCAAGAGCAGGTATATTTTCTATCAGATTTGTCAAATTGTACTTTTGTATGAAAGTAGTTAAATGATTTTATGAATTATTACTGAAAAAAACCCAAACCAAACCATACCAGGAAACCTAACTCTCTGATATTCAGCTACCTCAGATTTGTGAATAGATGGGCCCTCAAGAGTAAAATCCTGACAAAGCTGTATTCAAATGTGTGGTTAGTTTTGGCCAGTCTAACTACAGTAGTGGTAAAATGTTCCTATATTCCATTTTATGGCCATGATGACTTTATATAAAACCTATACCCATTATTGCAGTGATTTGTATGGGACAGAAATATCTGTAGATCTAGATGGTTAATGTGCAGGCTAATGGGAGCTACAGGGTAATAGTCTGCCCTTAATTCACTGACTTCTTTCAAAGATCCAGCTCTCTGTGCAGCCTATAAATCTACTAGTGAGTCAAACCATTTCTACAGTATACAGGCATCAATTCCAGCCTTGCAAGAATTTATTTGCATCTCACTGGTTTTCTTCAATGTCAAAGCACTATCCACAGCATCAAGCTAGTCTATTTTAAGAAGCGCTTTCAGAAAAGATGTCCTTATCGGGAAAGATTTTTTTATTTAATAGCAAACAAAATATGCACAGTATACAACACAGATGAATTAAAATTTAATGAAAAAAATTATATTGACATTAAAAAGACCCCAAAAAAATTGTTTCATATCCAATATCACACCACAGTTCTACAGCATATTTTCTTATTGGAAAATTGAAAAGGTTTAGAGGACTGGTTCTGACATCCTTTGTTTCCATAGCTAATCCTGAGTACTACCTACACAGAGTAATGGGGAGGGTTGCAGACAGCTATGGGTTCTCTGCATAGATCTTTTTGAATTGCATTTCTTTTCTTCCTTTTTGAGCTATTTAACTGCCTGGTTTTCAATTGCCATATCTTTGTGTCAGGGTCTGCAACTGTCCTGTAAAGCAATAATATCTTTTATAAATAGAATGGGAAAAACATTTTTTTCAGACAGAAGAGATAACACGGCTTACACATTACATCTGAAAAATGTACTTTTCATAGAGAAACAGGGTTTTCATAAATAGTTTTTGTTTGCTGAAAGAATAATTAAAGTACACAAGACACAGCAGAGTATCCTAACTAGTCCACATGAAGACTGGGTTAGTTAGGATACTAAAAACAGTATAGCTGGGATAACAGCTTCTAATTCCAAGCCAAAGAAGGAAAACCAGGATTACCTTTGTATAAACTGTAATGTGCCTGTGAAGTCACGGCCTCAATTTAATGGCCTCACATTAAAAAAAAAAAAAAATTACTGAGTATATAATGTATTTGAGGGCAAAGACTGTTTATGATGTTCCTAGTATATGCAAATTTTTAGGACTAAGTAGATCTTAAAAGATAATATTTTTAAGTAATTTGGCTATGATAATTTCGATTTGAGAAGTTGCACAAGGAGCTTCAAGGACTTTGTTTCCAACTAGCTGTTCTAGTTATTTTCTGGGTATGTAAGGTTATTATATATCTTGTTCATTCTATATTAGAGCAGCTAATATCTGAGATTTAAGTCCTTCTCCTCTTGGCCTTATCTTCATCTATTCAGGCTTCCTGGCTGGCTGCCACTGCTTTGCAGCTGTCTAGGCTCTGTCTGTGTAGCTGGGGCAGTAGCTATACTGTGTAACCTTAGTTTGACCATAACCTGGACTGTGTCCTCTGCTATTGCTTTCTGATCTTATTTTATGGTTGGATTCCAACCTGCTTCATAGTATATTAGCTGGAGACCTTCAGATTAACCCAATACTCTAAAAAACCCTGTGGTGTTGGTGCTGAGAAGCAAAAAACCACTAGGATAAGGGATGAATGACTCCACAGTAGACCAAATCACTACAAAGGAAACAAAAAATATGTTTAAAGCAAAGTATTTTATTCATAAGAACTGTAAAGTAAATAAGACATTTGGACACAAATTTCAGAATAATCTTCTGCATCAATAAATGCAGTGTCAGATTATTTCAGGTTACCAACTCAAATAATCCTATTAATATCCTAAATGCATTGAAGAAGCCAAAGAGATCCAAGATGTACATTGATACACATTTTCAGAACAAAAGCACACAAAGATATCCAGATTGCTTTACCTGGCCAATAGCTTTGGGTACTGTTGTATGACGTGCACGAGTTACAGCAAATGACAAGCGAAGATCCAACAATTTTACGGACTCCTGATTTATCTTTGGTAGAAAGTTCTTTTCACTAATTTTGTCAGGAACTTAGTGATTAAAATATGTATTTTAAATGTATTTTTCCAGTTTCTGGGAATTTCATCCTGTAGAGAGCTGCAAGACAGAAACTGACAGTACATTTCTCATGATGCTATAATTTTTGTCTGTGTTCAAATGGAGCTTGGAGAACAATTCTGTTCCCTCTGAAACATCTGCAAAGCAGTTCATCAGCAGACAAGGCACCAAGATTGGTCCACAGGTTGCATTGACTCTTCTCTAGAGCAAGAGTTTACACATATAGTTTACACCTGAGCTCTTCCATATAGATGCCTAAGATGTCTCAATCTGCACCTAAGTCTCAGCCTAGACCACAGTAAAATGTTCCAGAATTCAAGCTATTTGATAAGAAGTAGATATTTGAATACCAATTCAGTATCAGACTTGTGCATCCAATGACATTACTGACAATGAGACAATGACTGACAAAAGAATGTAAATGGGAAAAAAGAAATGGAAAATTGTGGAATAAACAAAACAAAACAGTGTGATCCTGGGGCACCAGTGGAAGTTACATCAGGCCTTATTGTTAAAGAACAAGAAAATCACTAAAAAGTAAGAGGACATATGTGAATACCTTCAAACAAAATGCCATTGCCATTTGCTGGGATAACAGGGTTTGGATTAGCAATCTGAGACATTCCTTAAATGGAAAGTTGATTTCTGCTTCCTTATAGTAGACTTTAGAAAAACACATGTGAATATTGTGTGTTTTCTTCTTCAAAAGTCTCCTGCTATTGATTTGTGCATTAGGAGAAAAACTTTTTTGGTATCTGTTCCCCAAAATGTAGATGCACATTTTTGACCTAATCAATCAAGAAAGTAAATACATTATATACTGATGATTTTTACAGTTTTGAAGCATGTCAAACACTAGTATTCCAATCATACTTCTATTTCTAAGGTTTTACCCACTCTGTAAAAATGTTATTATCCCAGAAGTGAGTTGCCAAGTAAACAAAGTGAAAGCTCTTAATGTATGATTTTGATCATATACTCCAGTGCTTTCATCACAATGAATAACAAGTGAAATACTGAAGATTAGTTCAATGTACTTATGGTATTCAAAAAGTTCACTATGTTCTGTGAACCTGTTTAGAAGTTGGATTGTCGTGTTACCTTGACTGCAGAATATGATCCCATCAGAGTATGCTTATTGATGCTTAACATTTCTGCAAACCTATCTATGCTCAAGGGCCTTATTCAGATTATTATAGCTGCAGGAGGGTTTGCATGTAGTTCCTTAGGCAGTTCTCAAGCAGGGATTTAAGTGCCTCCATGATGAAATTGAGAATCCCTTAGGGGGAAGCCTTTTCGTTTTTCCTGATGGTAGAGGAAAGAGCTTTGGAAACACTCAGACATGATATTTGTCTGAACAGTTAATCTAAGTCATGTGACATCTTCACCCCCTGAGATTTAGAGCAATGACACCATATTTCAGCACAACCAGATAATGAAGGCTCTCTCCCTTCATGCACAATTAGCTTGTGCACTAAGAGTTTCTAAGAACTTCCCCTGTTCAGACCTCCTACGGTAGAACCTAAATCTCAGCTATACAGTGTGAGCCTGAGCTGAACTATTTATTCTTCACTTTTCCTGTTGAGTCTGGAGCACAGCACAGAAAAAGACTGAAATACTAAAAGGCTTCACAAGGGAGAGAATAAAGAAAAATAGATCTGTTTCTATCCTAATTATAAGGATACTTCCCTCTGAATGATGCTTTCTTACTTCTGACTCTGCATATTATTCTAAGTATTATTTGCACTGTTTACAACAGCATGATGCCAATGTCTTTTTAGATTATAATTATTGCTATATTGGATTCTTATATAATACATATCTAAATATGCAGATTCTGGAATTTTATCTAAAGAGCAATTTTTTGGCTATTTTATCTTTTAAAAGAAAATAAAAACAAGTAAGTCAGAAAGGAAATTCTCCTGTTACCTTAGAAGTTTTGTAATCTATTGAAGTTAGGCATATCTTACAACACAATGGCAATTTACAATTGTACACTTGCATCTAAACTAAAAAACTGATATAAAAAATGGCTCTAGGCTGACCAAAGTCTATCACTAGGATTATAATGGAAAGATGATTCAGGCCTCAAAATAGCAAACGTGCTCTTTTCATGCATTTGTAAACTTTAAAACTTTGCAATTTTTTTTATTTAGCAGTTACAGAATGAGATATGAAAGGAAAACATCCTCAACAGTCAATACATAGAAGCAGAATATACATATGCGCACAACTAATTCATCCCACTACCATAGTAAAACACATATTAGAACAATACCTAAAACATAAAAACACCAGTTACTTTTTAAGATTTACACAGACTGTTCAAATTAATCACATTAATCCTGGAACCAGCAACATGGACACATGCAAATATTTGTTAATGGATTTTGTGAATTTACTATTGCTGCTTTCCTAGCTACTGTACTGTAGCAACTAATACTGTAACTGCCACTGTAATTGTAGCAAATAATATAGTAAAAAACGTTGATGCATGTGTTTTGCTCTATGTTCTTTCAGTGTAAATGGACAGAATTTTTTACACAGAATTTTTGGAGAGAGATTTTTAAAAGCATCTTTCAAAATAAATTGAGAAGCAAAAGTCTTCATTTTGTTTTGTTTTGGTTTGGTTTGGTTCTCGTGTTGTTTTGTTGTGTATGTTGTTTGGGGTTTTTTGTTTGTTTGTTTGTTTGTTTTGTTCAGCTACACAAGAATTCATATTACACTGGCATCAGTTATTTCCTATGATCCACCTGAGTGGTTTAACAAAATAAACAGATGTCAGTGGATCAGTTCAAGCACTTCTCTGATGGAAAGATGATACTTCCTTTTTTGTAAAAGGCCAAAAACTTATTTTCTGTGCCCACTCTCACAAAAATATCTCATGCTCTTTCCCTACAATCAATATAGTTCTACAAGAGATCAGAATCTAGCAAGAGGAGTTACCAAATTTTATCAGTTTTCTTGCATGTTCATGCAAGATTTCACACTTTCTATAGTCAGAATTTTGAGAATTGTAAGAGCAACTTGAACAGAAAGTTAGACTCTTTAGGACTCTTTTAAAATGCAGCTACTAAGATCAACACATTATTTTACTCACAGACATTGACCTTTTCCCTCCCTTCTCTGTGCTCATGGTAAATAAAACAAAAAAAAATCCATTATATCCATATAAATATAAATTACACAAAAAAAGAAGTCACTTGCCTCACAGACACCCATGGTCAGTGTGGCAGGGATACTACGGGTTGCACGGCAGTATAAACAAAGTAGCATAGATGGCAAAAAAATATGTGCAACTAGTTTTCTATTTTGGCAACTGTAATTTAACAAAGGGCCTTGCTGCTCCTGGGATTTTGGTCATCTGTATTTCAGCAGTACAATCCTTCTTCACTCTATTGCGATAATAATTTGTACAGCTGAATATGCCAAACTGCCTTTCCAACAAGAATTTCAATACTACTTCAGAACTCACAGGTATGAACTGCTGCTGTATTTTCAGTGTTATTAGGCAAAGCACTGATCTGGGAGTTGAGTTCATTGTTGAGTTGAGTGACCTACCTGAGTTGTTACTCCCTTCTAGAAGAGAGGCTTATTATCTCTCCCCGGTTTCCAGATTGCTTTTCAATTATCTATTTAGCTTGTACAGTTCTACTGGCTGACTGCTTCAGTTGATAACTGCCAGTTGCCTCAAATTCTCTGTGATGCCCGACAGAGATCTTTCACAGTCCAGTCTGTTCCTGTAGTTACAATGTGCTGTGTTCTGTGTCACTGTGAGCTGGAAAAGAAAACAATTGGATTGGGCCATGGTTGATGGTTACAGAGAAAACTAACCTCAATGGAAAGACATGCTTTGGCTATATATTGTCATAGAATTTTATGTTCTAGTTATATTTCTATGAATTTTATCACAAAACTTGAAGTATATGTGTCTCTTTAACTAACAGGACAAGGATTAAATGTTATGCTAATGACAGAGCTATCTGTGTGTATGAATAAAGGCGTAGTGAGACACAGGCTGATGATCACTAGCTGTTAATATAAAGCTTACAGAAGGTGGCCTGGATGATTTGCCAATATAATACTTATGTTATTATCCCTTCTATCACTTGGAGATGACAAGAATACACACCACACCAGCCTGCTTATGGACATGAGAGAAGTTTGAGATGTGTATTTATGGAACCGAAATCTGTGTGAAAAAATAGAACGTAATCAGAATGTAACCCAGCCTAGGGCAGAACAACACTCTTTAGATTCAGACTCTGTGACAAACATAGTCTGTAACATAACAGAGAAGTTCTAAACTTAGAAGAGGACCTGTAAAATTCGGGATTCAGCTAAAACTGTGTGACAATGGCATGTGGTGAAAAGTGACTATTCCAGTAGGGGACTTACCCAAACAGTTAATGGAGACACTTACCTGAATACCAGCAGGTATTCAACATTTGTAGCATTTTCTTTTTCTGTAGTGAAAAAATAATATCTAAAAGTCTTTTATGTTAGTATCACTAAAAATTCTCAAGCCATTACAACCAAAACAGGATAATGTTTAATAAACAACCTCACAAAAATCTATCAACTGGACACAAAATTAACAATCAGAAAGATGGCTCCTTTCATACACATATTAGTCGATTTAATATTTTCTTAACAGTTGATTTAATTTCTTCCTAACAATTTGTTAACTGAAAAATACAGAATGCCATACTCCCATACACAGACGTACACACATGTACACAGAGCTCTGAACCTTTATTAGCTTCTTAAAATTCACACGGAAATTATTAATTGCTATCTCTCATTAAACAATCTTAATTTGAATAATGGTCTTCCTACAACAAAGGTGTACCAAGACTGGAAAGATGCAGAATGCCAACAGGGTTTTCCAATCTGCAACTGAGAACCAAATCACTTCAACACCTTTACTCTACAGACACTCACAGATGAGTGTACTCACTTAAAAATATGATATCACTGCAATCAAAGTCCAAGTAAAAAATTAATTAATATATAAATTTCTAGTCTGAGGGCTCATGGTAATTTCTGTGACTTTAAGCAGGCTGGAGGCACTTAACATACTGCATCTGAACTTGTGCCAACTGTGGGCTGAATCCCACACTGTTAAACCTGCAGCTAGCTTATGTTCTGAATCTGCCTTTCACTGGAAAACACCAAATGCAATGAAGCAGACAGCAACAGTGAGTCAATTAAGATCACCTTTCCTACAGAGAATGGTCTAAAAAGAGGTATTGAAAGAAGATGCATGAGGCACATAGGTATATACAGAAGATGTTTATGCCTGTAATGGCTAACATATGATAATACAATCTGCTATATCTATATAAATGTTAATATATGCAGTATAATATAAATACAAATTTATTTACAAACACAGAATACATCAACTTGTACTGTATGTAGCACTGTTACATACAGCATGCAGCATGTTCTATGTAGTACAGCAAATATTGTCTGTGTGATATACCTTGCCACATATAAATTGTGTATATATATATATATAAGTATATGTATATATGTGATATACCTTACCACATATAAAATTATAAATTTTATACTGTGTAGAATTTATTGTGTACAATATACAGTATACATTTATAAATTAAAAATTTATATTTATATCTATATAAATATATATTCTTTTTTGTTAGGGCATATCCATGCCCTAACATGGAGGAAATAGAGGTATGCAATGTAAACCAGGTATCAATTCTATCTTCATGTATTTATTTTTCAGCTCTCTTTGAAAGCTACTTGCCGAAAATTATATAAAACAGCATGTAAACTTTACTATTTTTCTGTAAAGGGTATTGTAAACATGCTTTGTATTTTACAGGAACTGTCTGAGGTCCCATATGGCCTACAATTTTCTTTAGGGCATAAAAAATGTTTGAATATGGAAGACAGCTTCTGACTGCTGTAATGCCAAGTATACAACTTTGATTTCAGCACTGGAAGCTTTTTTTTACCAAAGATTTTACATCAAATTTCATCATAATTTCAACATTTTTTACCCTGTAATTGTGGGCCTGCCTGGAAGAGTTTGACCATGAGCATCAGTACCTAAGCTTTCTTTGCTTGCATGCCCAAGAGTCATGGCTTAGTGTCTGTTCTCCCTTCCAACAGGCTTCATGGGCCCCTCAGGGGTCCTTGGTCTTCCAAAGCCTGTAGTGCAACCTGCTCCCAGGACAGACACTGTGACTGTGAGGGTGCTGGGCACAGGCTCCTTTGACATACTTGCAAAGTATGACTGATATTGCTACCTAAATTAATGCAACTGTGACTTCCACTAGCTGCCCTGGCAGTCACCATGTTTGCTCCTAAAAATGCTCCTGGACTCAGATACATAACTCAAGTACTACTTAGCTTATGCAGTGTCACAAAAATGATCCCACGCTGCTAAGTTTGTTTCAGGAAGAACAGTGTTTGCTCTCTCTACCAGTGAATTACTTACTGTTCCTTATGAGTACAGTGCCAGAATCTACCCAGAGACTGTAGAGGGCTGGCTGCTTTACAGACATGTGACAAAGTATTCCCTCCTGAATCTGAAAGACTTGGCCTGGAAATGGATGATACATAAATAATAACAATAACATTCTAAAGAATGAAGGAATGCTTAAGTGTTACATTACTGATATTTCCAGATCTGTGTCTTCTGATTTAATGGTTACAGTCTAAAACATAGAAAAGTTCCTATCACTTCTCACATAAAAGTAAATCAATTCATAAGAAAAGGAGACAGAGAAACATGATTTCTATTAATTTGTGTTTCAGACAGCAGTCGTTTGTGGACGGATTCTTTGATGCAATAGGTATTGCCATTCATGCCGCTGGTTTCTTGAGGAGTGATATGCTCCTTTGCAGATTATTTTTCAAAACTTTTTGTTCATTGTGGCTGATTCTAGCTAAGGGATTCAAATGTTATTAATGGAAAATAAACAGACAAAAATAAACTGCACAAGTTCAAGTCTTTCCTTCCTTGACTAGCAGCTTGGGAAACTAGAATACTCCCAACTACAGCCCAAGTTCTCGTCCGTCCATACACAGGCAGTCTCAGTTCCTAACGTGTAATGATCCTGATCATAAAGCTCTAACAAAGTGCTTGAAATCAAGTCTTTTTAAAAAAAAATAAAAATTATATTAACATTTCGGTTTGTACATTTTACAACACAATGTCAGCAACTACATTTACTCTAGCCTCCTCACAGTACTTAAGTACTGCACTTAATGTGCAACCTTTAGACAAGAATAGGTATTATGGTAAAGGCTTTAATTATACAATTATATTATTATGTTTATCTATTTCCTTACAGGATTTTAGCCTCAAGGACAGGATTTCTGGATAATTTAGCAGTCACTTTCATAAATATGTTTATGACACATACAAAACACTTCTCAAAAGTTGTTTTTTTTCTTAAGGAGACAAAAAGATGGCAAATGCTGAGGTGACCAAGATTTTCATCAGCAACTCGATGCTGACGAGCCAAATTTCAGTTCCCGTTTCAGAAGGCGAAGGTCCTGCATTGAGCACAAAACAAATTTGGTTCATTTACTTTTTACTTTTCTCCAAACACGAGGAAACCGATACACCGTTTTTTAGACTTTCGGTGGACCAGAGAGTGCAAGCTGCCTTTAATGTGAGATACTTGGCACCCTCAGTGCTGAAGAGGAGGAGATCGGAGTGGGACGGGGGGACGGACGCGTTTCGCGCTGTCAGAAGTGAGGTGCCCTCCTGTCCTCCGGCCGCGACTCGGCGCGGGAGGGTTCTGGGCGCGGCGGGCGGAGAGCGCTCCCGGCTGGCCCCGGGGGCACAGGGCCCGGCGCTGCCCGCCCGCCCGGTGCAGCACATCCCGTCCTGTCCCACCTCCCGCGCTGGCGCCGGCCCCATCCCCGTGTCCCCGGGCCGGGCGCCGCGCCCCCGCCAGCCCCGCGGAGCCGGGTTGGGCAGCCCGGGAGGCGTCTCCTCTGCAGCCCCCGCCCCCCCGCGCCGGTGCTGAAGCGCCTCGGCCGCTCCCCACCAGCACCCCCGGGACAGCAGCACCCGGGCCTCCCTCCCTGCCGCCCGGCCCGGGCTCTCCCGCCGCTATTCCGCTGCAGAGGACACCTCATGGAAAATAAATAAATTAATTCCCACACCCACCCCCGCGGCCGGGAGAGAAGCCGGCGGCGGCCGCGGGATTAGATCCAGTCCGAGCTAGAGACCAGGTAATGTAACCTACCCGCCAGGAGGGAGGAGGAGGACGAACAGCGAGGTCGCTGAGGTTGTCCCCACCGGGGAGGGCTCCGGGGGACGGAGAAGTGGCTGCCGCAGCCGGGGCGCGCCGGCGTGGCCCCGGCGGGCTGCGTGCGAGCGGCTGCCCCCGCGCTGTGCGCACCTCACTGTCAGTCACACACACACACGAGCCGCCGCCCACGCAGGGATGGATGGATGGATGGATGGATGGATGGATGGATGGATGGATGGATGGACGGACGGACGGACACCGCGTGGGACGCAGCTGTTGTCCCCCAATACCAAAGCAGCCACGGCAGGCAGCCGCCGCACGCCCCGCAGTGCCCGCTGCCACGCGGGCGGGCGGCTCTGACAGCGGGGCAGGGAGGGAGGCGGGCGGCGGGGCCGGGCTGGGGCCGCAGCTCTGGGGGGAGCGAGGCGCGATCCCGCCCCCGGGCCGCTGCGCGCATCCCCGCGGGCGGTGAGCCTGCCAGCGCCCGGCCCGTGTGGAGCCGGGGTCCTCGGCCCCCGCCCCGGGAGCTCCGCCGGGAAAAGTGGGCGGAGAGCAGCGGAGCACAAACCCTGCCGCCGCGCCTGCCGTCATCAGACGCGGGCCTGCAAGAAGCTGTGAGCGAGGTGACCTTGGAGAAGGTGGATCTGGATGGAGCCACTATTGGTCCGTGCCAGGTGCAGTTCCGTGCTCTGGGCTGCTCCGAGTTCCACGGCTCTTGCGTTATTATCTCGAAACGCTGTTAGCTTTAGTTAATGGTTGTGTACAGAGGTCCTGGTATAAGTAGTACCATAGCCACGAAAATAATCTTACATCATTCTCTTTACTTGACCTCTGCTAGCACACAGTCCTTGAAGGGAATGGTCTGAAGAGTTTCCCTGGCAGGGAGCAATCGTTCAGGGTTCATCGCTGCTGAAGTGGCCCCTAAAGGGCAGTAAGTCCTAGGAGAGTCTGAGAAGTTGCCCTGTTCACGTGTCAGAGACCAAAGTGTCCCCTGGTCCTTCTGGGAAAGCACATTACCTTTCAATCCTGAAGGGTCACAGAACTGACACAAGTTCTCCACTGTTTTTCTGGTGAGGTCGATAGGAAAACAAAACAAAGCAGAAAAATGTTTGCAGATACCAGGATTTTCCAGTGTCAGCCTGAGCTTTCAGTAAAGGAGTCTTACTGAAAATGTTGAAAGCTGTTTTGGGAAAAAAAGAGAAACTAAAGAAAGCTGGTACTGTATGAAGGTGTCCATTCTTGTTTTGTTGGTCTCCATAATAATCGCTCATGTTTCCATAGTGGTTCCCATCTGTGGCTCTCAAGTTACTGATCAAATAGTAATGAAAAGATGTTTGCAGCTGCCATTGCAGGAATGGGGCCATAAACTTAATCACACACCAACTGAGCTAACAACTCAAGAGCCTTAGCTCTGTCTAGATGAATCATGACAGAAAAGTTAGTCATTGAGACAGAGGTTCGTAAATTATATTTAAAAGAAGTAGAAAACTGACAAATAATTCAAAAAAGTGAGATATACTTTTATGTACAAGTATTAAATATGTGAATAATGCATAAGTGATTCCCTTTTTATTTTAAATTGGCAGTCTCTTCTCCCCTTGCATTATTGTCTGCTAACTTTGAATAGTGTGCTTGAGCCTGAGTGCTGAACTCCTTCTACATGATGGAATACATTTAGAAAAGAGATTATACTCAAGATGTTTCTATTATTTGTGCAATTCATTACGGAACTGTAACTCCATGTATGTGTAGGGGCCCAGCTAGCATTGTTTGCAGTATAGTGTTTACAATGTAAGCGGCTTCAAAGCAAAACAGCTGATCATTTTGAATAGGCAGAGGGGTGGCTGGAGGTAATGGTTTTCATTTTATTGAAGCTTTAAATTATTTTGGTAATGAAGAAAACTTTATTTTATTTATATGATGGAGACGTAGAATAGCCTAAATATGAACTGTGGTCTTCATAGAACGTCTTTATGCATGGTGGAAAACCAAATTCATGTGTTTTATAGATAGGAAAACTTTGGATTGTGTCATGATACACTGATCTGAACAGGTATTTTACACGTAAAGGGGGAGACTTTGAAATATTACAAAAGGAAATATCAAAAAGAAACCAGAGTGTAGTTTAATACTGTGGCTCTGCAGCTGCAGTAAGGAGTGAAGGAATTCTTTTTCATCAATTTTCATTGGAAAAAAATGCATTGTTATAGTATATTTAGAAAGCTTCCTTCCAGCTCTTTAACCTAATTTCATCTGTCATTTGTCTGTAATGTATTTACCTCACCCAGCTCTTGCTATGGCAGAATTCTTATTCTAGAATCCAAATTTTACCAGGGCAGGAGATCTTTGGGCAACCTAAATTTATGGACAGGCAAGTTAAGGAAGAGAAAAAAACATTTCTTACATCATGAGCTGGCATTTTCTACATTTTTTTTCATTACTATTTCTTGGATGTGGTTCATGACATCATACTTCTATTTCTTGATTTTTTTCCCTGGCACTCAGTGCTTTTCTTTCTTCTTCATTTTAGAAAAAAAGTCCTCTCTGGTATCCTTTGTTTTTTAAGTAAATTATCTTGTCCTCTTTATGCAGTGAGGAGGTGGCTTGATTTCCAGTAAATATGGTTATTATTAGATCCATTTTATTTCAAGAAAAGAGGCTATGACTTACCTGCTTTTATTTCCCATTGCAGAATCACATGATGCTTTCAAAGAGTTGCATTTTTCTTGTGGAAAAGTTTGCTTTAGAAAGGATAATGCCTGAATATAATTCTCAATTAAATTGTATCCCTTAAAACCATTTGCCCAAATGTAATGTCATTTTTCTTCTGTGAGAATCAAGAGGAAGGTTCTTGGGCCATGCTAATAATCTGTGTTGTTAGATGAATTTTATGTTTCAAGGTTGATATAATTATCATAAAAAAACATAATTATCTTTTGACTTTTATTAAAATGGTTAGGCCATAGCTATAAATCATTGATGGAGAATGTTACCAGTTTCTGTGTCTGTTTGTGTAATATATATATGGCACAATGTTTGCACAGCACCAAGGAGGAGGTTAGATAGGAAAATATGATGTCATTGACCAACTGTTTTATGTGTCAAATAAGCACGAGGAACTGGCTGAGTCCCACATCTCAGTCCAGACCTGCATTCCTTGACTTGCATGTATTTGTGATCTGTTGGGCCAACTTCTCTAATTTTATTGTGAATCTTGGAACATTTGAAGAAAAGTTTGCAGTATTCAAACAAAAGTAATTTGCCTACAGGAATAAGGAGACAATATTCCGTGACTTAAGGAGTAGAAGATGTTGGACAAACTGACTGCACAGCTCTATTTGGCTTTACAATCTATCCAATATTTTCTTATATTTCTTGGTCTTAAGGTCAGGCAATCAAAATCTTGTTAAACTCTTATTGAAGAGCAAAGGGTTATCTAACTAGGTGACAGTGGCTGATAAACTAGAAAGAGTCACAATCTTTATTGCTCTGTTTTTATCTTTGCAATCTTAAGATTTTTAATTCACATTATTTTTTTGGGGAGTGGTGGGGTGGTGGCAGATTGATCATCATTAGCGCCTTTTGTAGATCTTAGTTTTGGTTTATGTGTTGTCTTTAAGTAGTTCCTTTATTTGTATGTTTTCAAGGTCAAGCTTCCAGTTCCATGATAATATTTTTTTATTTTTGGGACACAGTGCTCTTCTATCCTAACGACTTATAACAGCTTGATATAAATGAAGAGGTTTCCGTGAAGAGCTGAAAAAATGAATAAACATTTCCAAAAGGATATGAACATGACTAGGCCACTTTAAAAGATTTCCAAAAGTGAAGGAGGAAAATAATGGAAAAATAATTGAGCCTTATCACAATATACTCTTTTCCATTGTAGCTGTAAGACTTAAGAAATGGAATTAATTTTAATTCATAAAGGCAGGGAGCACTAGAGAACAACTTAAGCCAGGTTTTTTGGTTATTTTTTTTTAGTGCTGATTCATTTTCTTTCAACTTGGTGTCATGATTAGGTGGATTTCACATTATTTTCCTATCTTTCATATGAAAGATAAAGACAGTATCAAACTCCGCGAAAAACAGTCAAAGCACAAAACTGTGCAGAGTGGAGTTGCCCAAACATGCAAGATTGTTTAAAAAGTGTTTGTTTTCATTCAGCATGAATATTTGTATCCCCCAAAAGAACACTTTCTAGTTGTTTGGACCGCAAGCTTGGTAGTTATTTCACTTTTATCTTTCTTTAAGATTTTCCAGTGGAAGACTCGTGTAGGTAATGAGCAAGGTTCAGAAAGCATGTTGTATAGAAGACAACTCAGAATGACTGTATTTCACAGCTTTTCTTATTTATATATTTTTAAAGTTCTGGTCCTTCAGAGTAGCTCATCTTCCCATACCTTCGAGCAGACTCCTGCTGCAGCTTCAGGCACCATTGTGTAGTGCCCTTCCATCATGTGGCCACAGGATTAGCAAACCGTTGCTAATTAGGATTAGAAAACATTCCCAAGTTTGGCACCCAGGGATAGCACATAAGACAAAGAGTTGTAATGGTGTTCAAGATGTGCTTGGCATCAAAGAACTTCAGAATTTCTGTCACTGAAGTGGTGGCAATGACAATGCAATGAGGTATATTGCCTCTTCCATATGGTCTACAGTTTTATTCAAAATTAGTAAAATCAGTCACAAAACAGCAGTACATCATCCCAAAATATAGAAATTATTTACCCCCCCCCCCCCCCCCCCCCCCCAGAAATAGTTTTAACATTCATGCTTGCCACTCAGCACTTCAGCACTCTTGGAGTCTATGGTACAAGCAAAAAAGAGAAAAAAAATGGTGAAATCTCAATTTATCTGTCATGTGAGTTTTCACTTCATAGTGTCACCCTCGGAGCTTTACTTTTCAATTTGTGTGTTCTGAAATCAAGAAATACTGAGAACAAGTATTTATTTTAAAGTACTAAAAACATGTGAAGAAAGAAACCAAAAAGAAATCCCCATTTTTGTGCTGACAAAAATGGCAAAAGCATATATGCAAAATGCGTATTTGATTTTTTTTAACATAGCTAGTTCCTACTGCAATGTATTTGATTAGAATTTCAGACAGAGAAATAAGTATATGCCTACTTCCAGCATATGCTTTTGTAATTAAGTGTATTAGAGTGTTTTTTTTAAACATTAGAAATTAGGTTCTATGTTGTATCCTTTTCGAATCTCTGGAATAACAATATAAATAGTTGGTGGTGAAGATGAGAAGTTTTGAAGTGATACAAGACTGTGTCCAACGTTCCAGTTTTAACAATTTGGCTTCTTAGAGACATACCTGACTTTCTTTGCTGACTTTATTGAGAGATAGAAATTGGATAAAATTGGGGTATTTCAACAGTTACCTGTGCTATTGAATTAAAATGCCATAGGAAATGTCATTACTAGACTGAGCTCCTGTGGTTTGCATTTTTGATATGGCACTCAGAGCACGTTCACAAGAAAAGCCAAGAAAAGAACAACTTAATGATAAAAATAAACTCCCCTTGGTAATGTGTCTGATTTCTTAACAATTGGCATTTTATGTGCTAAATTCCTTGATAATTCAGCCTTTGCTGAGTATACTTTCCACTGAACAGATCTTTTCTAGAATTAATTGCTTTAGCATGCTCTGCTGGGGATGGATTTGGGTCTGAATCTGGATTGTGGACCCTGTGTTCCCACCAGTGCCTCCTGCTGATGGTAGAAATGAAAATTTTTGAGATACATACTGCAAACTAGAACTGAAGATTGGTTTGCCTGAAAGTTTGCCTAAGACAAAGATTCAAGGAGGAGCAAGGGGGTTTCATCTGAGAGCAGGTAGAGAGAGCTGAATTGACTATGGAAGGAAATAGCTGCTGGAAGCTGAAGATGGCAATGGGCCGGCCTATCATCCTATTACCAGCCCCATTTTAGAATGTACATCTTTAAAATAATTTGTACATAGTACCAAACTAAAGGATTCCTTTCTGCCCTGAGGAATTTGTAAGAGCTCTACTCATTTTATCACACAGGGATCCTAACTCCTTATCTTCCATTAGGCAGCCTCTTTCCCTTCTTCTCACCAACACACTACATAAGGCGAACCAGGGGACTAAATAGCACATGATTAGGAACCACAACAACATATTTTAGCAAGAAATGAAAAATCTTTTGTATTTTTTGGCCTCTAGGTTGCATATATAAAAAATATAGGTAGAAAAGAATATGCCATAATAGCCTGTATTTACAGAGCATGAAGTATGCTTTATATTTGTGAAGAATGGGCAAAAAGATAATGTTTTCTTTTTCTTGTGCACATACAATTATGTTGGATAGAGACATAACATAGATTTTTTTTCTCATGTTTTCCTCATGTAGTTATTAAAAAATAGATGCTTTATTGTAGTTATGCTGGAAATAGGGATGCATTATTTCAATTTAGTTCATTTCC